GCTACTTCCTCCGGCGTCCTGTTAATGTGGATTGACGCCGGAGGAAGTAGCCGTCTACCTTGCTATCACACAGGGGATTGTTATGTCCTGTGTGATAGCAAAAAAAATGACATTGATTTAATTTAAAAAAAAATTTAATTACATAAAAAAATAAAAAGGTGATTAAAAAGTAAAAAGAAACAAATTATTAAAAAAATAAGAAAATAATTATAAAAAATAAACAATAATAAGATTCCAAAAAATCTAAAAAAAGTAAATATGATAATTAAAAATCTAAACAAAATAAAATGAATAAAAAAATTAAATACATAAAAATTAAAAAAACAAGAAGAATTAAATAAAAAGTGATAAAAAAGTAATTTTTTTTAAAGAAACAGTAAAAAGAATTGACACTAATCCCGCCATCCTGCCATCTGGTTGCCATTCTCCATTGATGGGAAGGGGGGGGAGGGCGCATCGCAGAACCTGGCAGGGAGAGTAAGTCCGGCCCTGGGTAAAGGGTTGGTGTATCTAAAGGCATCTGTAAGACTATGAGAGCCCTTGATGGCTACCCAGCATTAATAGACCTTTTCTGAATAAAGCTGCTCACTATTAATATGTTGGACAAATACCAAAGTAATAAATAGACAGCTTATTATCCACAGTACTGACCCAACCAGTTTTACAGAGTTTGTTCACATGTGAAAAAAGAAGGGCATGCTTTATAGAATATGCTTGGGCAGATTTTTATGCCCAGCCTGACTCTGTACATCCAACCATCATTTAGCTAATATCAGCTGATATCAGGCTCATCGTCCACCAACAAACATGTCAATCCCTCTTTATGACTGTATGAAAGCCACTCACTTCTGCAGATTGTCCGGAGTACACACCTCTTCATCATACAGCCCTTCTGGGTCCAGGAGTGTTCCTAAAAAGCATACACAATCATTAAAGCCATTGAATGCAATCTGGAGCTATTGTGTTTGTCTGGTGCTCACAGGCAGCTTGCTGTAACCTGCTCTATAATCACTACATAATAGCACTTCAACCTCTCCATACAGCCAAGCTCAAAAAGCGGCCAAACAAACATCCCACCGCTATTCAGACATCTCCTAACCAAGAACATGCTTTTAAATAGACAAATGTACTCCAATGTATACCGTCTACTTGCATTTCCTAAACAGGGATATTAAAATGTATGAGCCCATAGCAACAATAATCTTTTATTGTTAATGGAATGGCAAAGTCCACTTAAAAAAAATAAAAATAATTATGAATAAAACATATTCATAAAAGTAAAAAAAAAAAAGTGAATTCTTTGCATAGAAGCCAGAAAAGCATTGAAACCACAACCAGTAGATTCCGGGTGCAATGTTTTGGCTCCTGCAGACTCTTCCTCCCGTCCATGTGTGTATGTTATTCAGTAACATGGACGGGAGGAAGAATAAATGAACTACAAGTGCAGCGATGTCACCACAATTGTATTCCATTGAGAAATAAAAGGGCTAGTTCACACCAGCCCCAGTGTGTTCCGGCCCGACTGGTGCCGGAACCCACTGGATCGCATTCCGGCCGGTCTAAAAACTTTGTTTTGGGGCAGGAGGAGGCGGGGCGGTGCATTGAAGTCAATTTGGCCACACCCCCTGGCTGCAGTGCGATCGGCCGCACCCAAACGCAGTCAGACAAAATGCTGCATGCAGTATTCGGGTACGGGTGATTGCACTGTGGCCAAGGAGCGTGCCTGCGGTACCCTTGACTTTAATACACCCCCTCCTGCCCCAAAACAAAGTGAGCAGTCTGGAATGCAATCCGGCACCAATAGGGCCGGAACGTACTGGGGCCTGTGTGAACTAGCCCTCAGTCCCTCTGCTGTGACGGCTGATGGGACCTGTACTTTCTCCATTTATGGATCCTGTCAATGGATCTGTAAATGGATGACACGGATGTGCAGTAAAAGATGCCTGCAGGCAGAAGAACCCCACAATGCAGGTGTATGTAAGAGTGGGGGGAGCGGGGTGGATCAATGACACCGTTTTTTAAGTTATGCGCTGAAAATAGAACAAAGGTAAACTTTAAAGGAATTGTATAATCTTGTCACTGTTTTATTAGATATGCATGTAAAAGTGGTGAGCATGATGTAAATAATCTTATCAATATATAATACTGTTTTAGAAGCTCTATTTCTACATAGTTTGTAATAACTTATGAACATCAGGGCAGCCATATTTGCTTATTGTATATACAGGTAATGCTTCCTGCTTTGTACTGCTACACAAAAGGTTAAGCTTTTCCTTCATACAATGTAAGTCAACGAATCAATCGACTTAATGAAAGCAAACGCACTCTCTAGGTGGCTGATATCTTATCTAAACACCTATTAAAGAGGAAGCAGAGTGATAGCACTGGGCCGCTAAGAGTGCCCTCTATTGGTAACTGGAGTATAGTAATCACTGTAGGAAAGAGCAAAGATGTAAAAATATGAAAGTCCTATCAAAAATTACTTTACAGCAAATGCTGAAATAAGGATTCAAAATATGGGCTCACTGAAAACACACTGGGGGGAATTTATCAAAACTGGAGCAGACAGAATCTGGAGCAGTTGCCCATGGCAACCAATCAGCATCTCTCTTTAGTTTGCTCATTTAAGATTCGAAAATGAGACAGAGAAGCTGATTGGTAGCAATGCAAATCTGCTCCAGTTTTGATAAATTCCCCTCACTTTTCTTTCCCAAATAAATCACATTTAGCAACCACCAGAAACAAGACTTTGTATACAGGACCAAGAAACCACTGTATGCATCAATATAGAGAGCAACTTATCCGGCGCTATCAAGAGTGCACCCCAGGGTTAGGTCACAAGGAGTACAAGAAGCACTTGATCAATGATTTCATAACTGAATAACAGGGTGGATTTTTATATCTGTATGGAGTTACATTTTTATCACAAATCTACATATAGTTATACCTGGAGCACATGTGTACCTGCTGTCTGTATACCATACGGACAACCTTTGTGGCAGGACTATATGCCATTATCCATGCCTCCAGCTGTTGTGAAACTACAAATCCTCCCATCAAACAACTGCCTTGGTACGATGCCAGTGGCTGTCGCAGTCTTGTCTTTTGGGACTTGTAGTTCCACAATAGCAGGAAACGAGATTTGGCTACCCTTGCGCCAGGCCTACATTCACACCTGTTCCTTCTTAGGACTTCTACTGTCTCCTGTCAGGAAGTTTTCCCCGGCACAAAATTAACATTCAGAAGCAAACAGTTGTCCTAACTCAATGCGGTGGGCAGGCCAGAACTTGCACTTACCAGAATGGGCAGCACAGTGGCTCAGTAGTTAGCACTTCTGCCTCATAGCACTGAGGTCCCAGGTTTGAATCCCAACCAAGACACTATGTGCATGGAGTTTGCACGTGCTTGTGTGGGCTTCATTCCCACGCTCCAGAGATCGGCTGGTAGGTTAACTGAGTAGGCAAATGAGACAAGGACCTTAGATTGACTTCAGGGCAAGAACTGGTGTGAATGAATAGTATGTAAAGTGCTGTGTCAGTTGACAGTGCTGTATATACAACCTGTAATGAGTACAGTACTTATGAGCCTTTGCGCATGAGTTGTCTTGCCTCTTTTAGTCAACTTTTACAAAATAAATAAAAATGTATTGCAGCTTTAATGCTTTTTTGGGTAACATAGCACCTTTTAGCACTTATAAGTAGTGCCAATATAAACATCACTGAGCAAAAGACATGAGAAAGTTTAATAACATATGTACATGGAGGCAGATGTGTTCTACCTGCCAAAAATGTGTTATTTTTCCCTTTTGGCCCTGTCTTTAATTTTCTTTAAATTAAAATATTAGTCTACATTTACATTACGTGTTAAATAATAAAACCAATCAGACCAGTCCAGACACTAATCACCTCCATTCCCAGTTTGATGGTCACTTGCAATATGTACAGTTGCCTGCAGATGGCACTGGTAGAGAACAATAATGTGTTCCTCAGCCTTATAACATGTCTCACCTATTGCCCACGGCTTCTCTTCTCCAGGACTGAGTCTGCACGGATCCTTATAATGTGTAAACAGGCTGTGCTGCTGCTCCAGCTTATCTTCTGCACCAGAAAACAATGAACATATGCTGGTTACAGTTTCTGAACACAGTGCTAGTTCTAGACACTCTTCATCTGCTCACATATCGCCAAGTCAAAACAAATACATTGAAGAACTTAAAATTTCTTAAAAATATGGGAACAGCTTAGGCCCCTTTCATGCGGGCGCCTCTGTTCCTATCTCTGCAGAGGATCCATAGACTAGGTGACATCCATGTCTGTTCCATCTAGGTGTCACATAGGTGACATCCATGTCTGTTCCATCGTTTCCTCCATCTTGTGATGGAAGAAAAACGGACCCATGTAATTCTTATCAATGTCTGTCATGTAAATGGATGTGTCTGCCTATATACATCTGGTCAGGTCCGCAAAAGTAGACCTGGACAAAAACTTGCATTTGGTGCGACAAACCTGAATGGACCCGGATGTAAACAGATGCACATCTCCTAACAAATGGCCACCCATAGGAATGCATTGCAGTCCATTTTTCATCCGTCTAATTGTGGGTCAAAACGGTCTGATGGAATTTCTTAGATGTAAGATAACCATAGTGATCAATGCACTGAAATCCTAAATGATGAGGGTTTTCTTAATCAAAAAGCATCTGTGGGACAGTGGCAAGGGTCAAAAGCTTAATTAAAATTGTTTTAATCCTCTAACTGAGCTAAATATTGTGTGAGTACATGGGCTGTTAAGAGGAGCCACAAGCTCTGCAGCTCGGGTAATATAAACTATCTCCGTTCTCTACTAAGGCACTTTATTAGTGGACTGGTAAGGTCAAACAGTAGCGTCTAACCAAGAAACAGCACCACAACTTTGGTAGTTCCTTCCTCTGTTTTTCAGGATCACAATTAATACTGCAAAATCCTTAGTGCATCATATTCTGTATAGATATTCATCAACCATCAGCCAAGCATACCCTGACCACCACAGCCTACAAAGATTATTTATGTATTTATGCAGTCTTGTGTGTTCCAGTCATGAACCAAGATAAACATCTTGGCTTAGCTAATAAGCTTTAGGAAGATGGGAGGAAGTCGATATCTCCCTTTTGTTGATTTTAGCCTGTTTTCCTCAGTACGTTGAGAATAACTAAGAAATCCTTTAGCACCCACAGCATAAAGAGAAGGCAGAATGCAAGAACCAATGACATGATCATTTACTGGCACACAAAATGTACTAAGGAACTTTCTTCAAATTCTTTCATACCTGATGAGCAATTGTCAAAGTTGAGGTCTCCACAAATAACATCGAAGGCCACCAGCTCCTCCGGATTTGCGGCACTGGAGGAGGAGGTACATTTACGGAATTCAAACGCCCACTCCTGGAGATAGTCTAGTTGTTCACTTCGGATTGTTGCATCCCCTAGAAAAAAATATAAAGTATTCTCAACAAAACCTAAGGATTGCCAGCAAGGTAAAGAATCAACTGACAGGATAATGGTCCCCATTTTTAATATAGCAAAGTGCATTGATACACAGCAATCAGTCAAAATGTGGTCTAGACTGATCTAAGACGACACTGCTTGGTTGTGGGAGGTTATCGAGCATTACTGGTCACCTCCTCCTGGGTTCTCCAGCCAGTATCCTTCTATTGTCGCAGTATATGAATTAGCTTCTACCCAATCAACCTCACTGAATGTGCGTGGTACGGTGATGATGACTGACAAAGCTGTCCTCATAACGTGTGTAAGTCTTGAGCAACAGCTCACAATCTCACATTTAGTTTACTAATTTTTATTGAGATTGATGTCCATCCCGGGAGTGGGCTTGGAGAGGTGACTATTTTACAACACACACAGGGATCATGGGGAACAAAAGTAGCCACCCTCCAGAAGGAAGGACAGTGTCAGTATGAATTCATAGATGATTTGAGGATCTACCGCTGGGTGATACAAAAATAATTTCAATTTTTGTTAATAGTTAGGTTACCGGAATGCATTTTAAAGATTTAACTCCTGAGTTTAGTGCTTTAATGTATATAACAAAAATAGTAACTTTTATTAATAAAAGTCAGTTTATGGGCCCCAGTGCCTAGGTATAGACTCTAAAAATCATTCGGAGAAGGGCATCTTGAGGAAATTATGTCCTCAATCTGCCATGGGCAGGAGGAAACATATCCTCAGTCCTCCCTCCATTAAGTGAATGAGTGAGATAGATTTTACTCTAATTTGGTCAAAGAGTGAGTGGCAGCAGTAGAAGGATGCATTTGGGTGCGTATAAACAAAGCCAAAATAAAGAAGGCCTCTGCACAGACATTGGGTGGTCCATGACTGCATAATCCCAGGAAGTCCCTGGATGATGCCTGAACAAAGATGGCACCAGCCAATGTTAGGAGGAATGCTGTGATCTCTATGATTCATGATACATATGCAAGTACAGCACTTACAAATCACATAACATATGTGCATATAACATAACTTAACGCTATGTTCACTTTAAATAAGCACCAGGAAGTACACGCTATAGTAACTGGGCAATGTTTGGGTATAACCAGTATCTAGCCCGATACTGCCAAATAATTCCTGATTTCACATGTTCTCCGTCAGTGCGAAGATGAGCTGTTTGATATTCTTGGTAATGGATGAGTCAGTAAGCCGCATAAACAGTGGCCCTCTATACTGACCTATTACTCAGTCTCAGGTCTGATCTGTCCAGACCACACACAAATACAAACCATAGTTCCATGAACATCACTCACTAAGTTCACTGTTCATATTTCACACAGAAAACTCAAACAAAGTCACAGCACAGGGCCGGTAATATAAATACACATCTATATCATCTATCACACATTAACTAAACACCGCTGCTTGGCTTCGGACTGTTGTATAACTACAGATCACTAGATTCTAATGTCAAATTTATGAGAAACCCCCTATTCTCCACTTCATATAAAAAACATCTTTCAAATAAACGTTAAGTAAAAAAAGTACTGCACAATCTTAACAGCTGTTAAACTCCCACATGACTGTATATATATCTACATTATATATACCGTACATATTAAATATACTAACTCATGTAACTGTGTGCATTTAAAAGAAATAACATATTATATAAAACATAGAGATTGGATACCCCATAAACCAATAAACACATAATAAAATAAACAGTATATTAATCTAGTGCTTCTATGAAAAGTTTAGTGCAATAAAGTATTTTAAATAAATAAATATTAGATTTCTTTATACAGATCTGTAGAAGAAGAAAGAGGATGTGGTTATTTGGTATGTATCATTCCACCAAAGGAATATTTGGAAATTATGTAAGCATGATAAGGTTACTACATTTTTATATATCCCAACAATAAATATAGTTTTCCTAGTACTGTCCCTTCACATAGAGTAAATAATTGAATGTTTTTAGGAATCTGGAGTAAGTAATGGGCATTGAATTATTAGATATAATGAAAAGAGGAGATGATGAGATGAAATACAAAAAGGAGTGTTGCCTGTAAAGGGAAAACGTCATACTTGTCCAACCACCGACACTGCTGATCTTCTCTCTGTGACAGAGCTATGGTGGCTGAAGGTTCTTCCGCATCTAACACTTACAGAAGGTTCAGGTGCCTGGCCCTGCTCTACAATCTGTTCTTCCATCCATTGAGCCCTATGTCACAGAGTATAGGACACAGTAGTAACGTAACGATTGGTGGATGGAACCACAGCATGAAGCAGGAACAGACATCCGACATGCCCCAAAAAGTGTTGGATGAAGGCGTTTCTATGGCTGGTGTAGCTTTTCAGGAGAGTTAAGATCAGTGTCACAGGTGGTGGGTCAGCCGAACATGCTGAGCATGTTCGGCTGATCCGAAGCCACACGAAGCAAGCCGATGTACGGCTGATTTCAGCCGATGTACCGCTGATTTCAGCCGATGTACGGCTGAAATCAGCCGTACCAGCCTGAAGTGAATAGCCGAACACTGTTCGGCTCACTTCACTTCTGATCGGTCATTCACTCGGCTGCCCTCGGCAGCTTTGTGAATAGACCCCTAAGTCTTTCCTTACAGGCAGCATTTTTTCATTTACATTAAATTAGAGCAAGCACTGCCCTTTTTACAAATGGATCCTGCAAGCCAAGGAGCCAACCTTACAAGGAAAGTTTGGGACTGAATGGAAAGGGAGCATTCACTAGCAGAAACTTCAGAAGAAGCAGACAGTGCAAGTCCCATCATTACCATCTTCAATATTATAACAAAATAGGGTTTAATATTACTTTAATGCATATACATGAAGATCAAGGATCTCTATACCCTAACAATAATAATAAAAAAAAAAAATTTACATCATTTATGGGTATTAAGGATTTTTTAACATACATTTTATTGTAAGGTTATAGTGATCCTTTAATGTTCAGCATATTCTGTACAAGTGCACTTTGCTTGCACATTTTCAGCTTTTCAGATTACTCTTTAGCACCCATTTAGCAGTTTCTAACATCACTCTATCTAACTCGCTCCTGCCACCATTACAGGGACTACATCACTTTAAGTAGAGCCCCAGTAAAGGCAGATCAATTGTGATATCACGGGTAATTATAGAAATAAGTAAACTGTTATTGACCTGATGCTTAGTGATGGTAACTAATGATGTAGCTAATACAAATCCATTAACTGTATCTACAGAACATTGATCTGGAAAATAGTTTATTATAAGTATTTGTTACTAATATTATGAAAGCTCCTAACCTAAGAAGTAGACTAAGTTCAGGAGACAACGGAGTTCAGGAGACAACAGGAGACATTTAATAAGCAGCTCCTGCTAAAGAAGGAATATTAGTCCCTATTCACGCCTGAGCGTTTTGTAGTGTTTCCCGAAGTGTGACAACATTCAACATGAAGAATGCTATTATTTTCAGTGGTGTCCATTTACACCTGAGCATTGTGTCATCTGTCGCTTGAAGCTCCAAAAAGTACATGAGCTTTTCTTGGGCAGAATGGTGTATTTTTGATGATTTGCATCTAACAACCATCTCCTCCATCTAGTAATTATCTTTCCATTGGTTAAAACAAAAACACTGAAGCCTGAAAAAGTAGCTGATAAAAAATTGCCTAAAAAGCGCTCACGCTCAAGTACCAATGGGGGTGCTTTGGGATGGTGGCCTCTTTGTGCTACTGAAGGGTGTGGGCATCCTGGAAAACCAAAAAAAACCCAGAACTTATCTTTGGTATTATGCATAGCCACACAGCCTTTAGCATATTTATGTTGATTTTTTTATCATTTGTATTACACATACAGGTGAAACTCGAATAATTAGAATATTGTGCAAAGTTCATTTATTTCACTAATGCAACTTAAAAGGTGAAACTAATATATGAGATAGACTCATTACATGCAAAGCAAGATAATTCAAGCCGTGATTTGTCATAATTGTGATGATTATGGCTTACAGCTCATGAAAACCCCAAAAACAAGGATTGTACATAGAACAATATCGGACCTCTGAAAAGTACAAGCATGCATATGTACTCAGTACTTGGTTTGGGCCCCTTTTGCAGCACTTACTGCAATTACTTTTGCACGATATTCTAATTATTCGAGTTTCACCTGTACATATTACTGTCATTCATTTGGAGGGACATTCCATCTTTTGAAACCAAATCCCTCTGTCTCTCTTTCCTCCTCTGTTGTCTCTTTTTGGTCTGATCTATAGACCTCCATAAAAATGTATAATTTACCTACTGAAAGTGTTAGGTGCTTCCCATGCTACAATAAATCACTAAATATTACATTTAGTATTTTAAAAAGCCAGTATAAAAGGGAAAATGTGGCTTAAAAAAACCCATTGGTAGTTGACCAATAGAGGGTATATGTACACATGGTAGTGGTCTGTAAAAGGTGAATGTATATATTAGGGATGCACCGATACCAATACTAGTATCGGTATTGATACCGATACAGAGTATTTGGGAGAGTGATTATACACCGCCCGGCTTCCTGGCTAACCAGGAAGCTGGGCAGTGAGTCATTACAAGTCGCCCGGCTTCCTTAATTAAACTTCCGGTATCGGTGTTTGGTATTGGCGAGTACGGAAAAAAAAATATCGGTACTCGTACTTGGTGCATTCCTAGTACATATACTTGAAATAGAACGCTAATGCTGGACATACAAGCTGCAATGTTCAAGCAATTTTACCTACTTTCACTCAGTCACCTTTAGGACCTTTGTGAATGAGCTTTTTGCTTTGGTAGATGGCATCAGTCTAACATAAGTTTGATATGCTTCTCTGATTATTGAGAATTCATTGACAGGTTCATTTGACCTGCAGTTTCACCTCTTTCTGAACTGCTTTAAGTGTGTTTTGAATTCCCAAAAGCATGTACAGGAATGCAAAATCCAAAGGGAACTATAGCCCATGTGTATTGCCATGTGTATGGCGAGCAAAAGGGTAAATATATATGAGGGATGCACCGATATCGGTTTGTCGGTATGGAGTACCGATATTTTTTTCCGGTACTCATCGATACCGATACTAGAAGTTCCATTAAAGAAGCCGGCTGGCGTGTAATAACTCACAGCCCAGCTTCCTGATTAGCCAGGAAGCTGGGTGGCATGTAATTAATGGCACTAGGTGATGAGGAAGCATGGAGCCGGCCTTCTGGCCAATCAGGAAGTCTGGGGATGGGTAATGACTTGCTGCCCCGCTTCCTGATTGGCCAGCTTCCCGACCAATCAGGAAGCCGGGCGGCAAGGCACTACAAGCCCCCCGGCTTCCTGATTGGCCAGGAAGCCAGTTTCAAGCTCCCTGGTGACGAGGGAGCATGGAGTCGGCTTCGCGGCCAATCAGGAAGCCAGGCAGCATGTAAGACTCGCTGCCTGGCTTCCTGATAACAGAAGTTCTGGTATTGGGATTAGTATCGGAAGCATTTGGGCGAGAACGAGTACTTGTCCAAATACTCTGTATTGGCACAGATACCGATAGTAGTATCGGTATTGCTGCATCCCTAATATATATAATGTATATGGTCCAGAATTAAGGGTAAACGATGATGGAAGCACAGCAGACAAATGCACATGAGCTTCCTGATCTATGGAATACAGGCTAGACAGCAAAGTTGTTCTTATTGTTGGTGCAAGAAACTCAGCTTTCAGCTGGTGACCATGTTAGATAAGGATGGCAGGGAAAGTGGTTCCAGGGAGGCTGCTAAAAAGCAAACTGGACCAAGGCTAACCCTGTCTTTTCTCAAAGCAGCATTCTCATGGGACTCTCCAGCTCGTCTGTCCTGCAGCTGAAGCACATGGATAAGCACAGCATGCAACAGCCACACTAGGTATCTGAGGACACAGTGGGAGAGGGAGATCAGGAACAATACAAAGTCTTCATTATACACAGCAACTATCAATACTAACTCATTGAGTCCATGAAAACTGAAAATGGGAAATCCACCTGTAAAGAGTGATACCTTTGTTATGGCCCTGTGGGAGAGGGAGGAAACAAATACAGGAACATTTCATCTCTGGAGTCTCCAAGAAATATAACATGCTAAAAGGAGGTAAAGCCTGAAAAATACTAAAATCCTGTAAATCTTGTAAAATATTAAAATCTAGTTAGAAATGGGCCTGTCTGAAACACTTTTACTTAACTGATCCCTGCTCCCACTGGCTCCAAGACTGACCCCTTGCATCCCTCCTTCACTTGGGCGTTCAGGGGATTGCTAACATCATCATGTACAAAGCAGGGCCCATAGCACTGCGTTATATGTGAGGATGCTGAGGGACAGTCCACAAGTCAGATTGGAGAGGAGGCAAGCACTGACTGCTAGGGGAGTGGTAAGTAAAAGTGCTTTACACCATATACCTAGACAAAAACGAGCAGCCGACCCTTGCAGTGCAGGGGTAGCCCCACTGCAAGGGTAGTTTTTTCTTTACCTAGAAATAGGCTTTACCTTTGGGCAGAGTTGGCTGTAAAAATGGATAGAGAATTAATTTACAGTATCAAGTCTGATGGCTTACCTGACAAAGCATGCAGGTGAGTGCAGGAGACATATCCCACAATTCTTTGGTCCTGAGGAGTGGTCCCCACCTGCACCTACAAAATTAGACACACAACAACTGACTCATTTTTTTATTGCAGATTATCTGCGTATACATCAGTTTTCATTTCTTAAAGTAGATCTACATCCTAAATGGAGGACATTACGTTTCCTAAAGCACAGTGCATCATAAACAACTGCCATTTTTAAAAAATAAAATACTGTTTTCACTGGTTTTTCATAATTTTCTTTGCATCTCGGTGCTGCAATTCTCTTCCAGCCACTTCCTGGGGCTTCACTCCAGTGGCGGCTGCATATCATTGCTCTTGACCGGCTTCCAGATAGTGACAATGCTGGAACCTATCTGCACAATGTGTGTCAGCATGGCTGCTTGTGGTCTCCATCAGGAGTATGTGTGGCAGGGTGACAATGCAGTAGTTTAGTTGAGATACAATGGTTACACGTTTAAAGCTGTATGAGATTTAAGTAATTGGGTTTAGACCTACTCTAAGCATTTGTTATTAGCATTTGTATTTTTCTGTTACCTGTTGAAAAAAATACATTTGACACTTGTGTGCAGCTTGAGATAATTGAAAAGTCAACTCAGTCCACTGAGTTCCACTTAGTTAAAGATCTGCTTGGGTCCCAAGCCAATGGATGCCATAGTTGAGAAAGGGCACGTAAAGTGCGTGCAACAAAGTATTCTGAACAATAAAGTATCTCTATTCCCCAACAATAAAAAAATATTTTTTAAATAATTTAGGGGTCTTTAAGGATTTTTTTAACATACATCTCATTGTAAGGTAATAGTGACCCTTTATTGTACAGAATATTCTGTACAAGTGTACTTTGCTTACACCTTTTCAGCTGTTTTGATCACTCTTTAGCACCCATTTAGCATTTAGCAGTTTCTAAAATCACTCAATCTACCTCGCTCCTGCCACCATTACAGGGACTACACCAGTTTAAGTAGAGCCCCAGCAAAGGCAGATCAATTGTGATTTCACAGGTAATTATAGAAACCATTGTTTGAATTCTAAGTAAACTGTGATTGACCTGATGCTTAGTGATGGTAACTAATGATGTAGTTAATACAAATCCATTAACTGTATCTACAGAACATTGATCTGAAACATAGTGTATTGTAAGTATTTGGTACTAAGTTCAGGAGACAACGGTAGGTGAAACCACAAATGACATTTTAAATAGCAGCTCCTACTAAAGAAGGAATATTAGTCCCCATTCACACCTGAGCGTTTTTTAGTGCTTCCGGAAGTGACAACATTCAACATGAAGAATGCTATTATTTTCAGTGGTGTCCATTTACACCTGAGCGTTGTGTCATATGTCGCTTTAAGCTCCAAAAAGTGCATGCGCTTTTTCTTGGCAGATTTTTGGTGATTTTGCATCTAACAACTATCTCCTCCTCCTAGTAACAAACTTTCCATTGGCTAAAACAAAAATGCTCAAGCCTGAAAGTAGCTGATAAACAATTGCCTAAAAAAACGCTCAAGTACCAATGGGGGTGCTTTGGAATGGTGGCGCTTTGTACTACTGAAGGGTAGTCATCCTGTAAAACCCCCCAAAAAACCCATAACCTATCTTTGGTATTATGCATAGCCACACAGCCTTTCTCCTATGTAATTATGTTGATCGTATAACATTTGTATTACACGTACATATTATTGTCATTCATTTGGAGGTACATTCCATCTGTCGAAACCAAATCCCCCTGTTTCTCTTTCCTCCCCTATTGTCTCTTTTTGGTCTGATCTATAGACCTCCATACAAATGTATAATTTACCTACCAAAAGAGTTATGTTACAACAAATCTCTAAATAATGCATTTGCTATTTTAAAAGGCCAGTATAAAGGAAAAGTGTTGCTAAAAAAAATAAACCTTTGGGGTCTGACCAATGATCTGCGTATTCCATCTTCATGGTCTGGGTAACTGGAAATGTAACAGTGGTGTGTTGTTTGCTCACGTATTTTTTCTAAAAATTTTCCCTCTTTCTCAACTCAGAAAGAAGAAGTGTCCATCTTTGTCATCTCAGAACATTGGAAGGTATGTATAATATTTAAATACTGTTACCCACCATTAAAGTGTCTCTTAAAATGATATTTAAATGTTAACAAATAAGCTATTAGACCTGGGAGGCAGAGTACTGTTATTGTAATTATTGTGAGATGCAAAATATCATCAATCTCACAGTACAGGTCATCCTGGTGTTTATGACAATATCACAAGGCAATAAATTACGGTGGCTCTCTGCAGGGACTGCGTTATGAACAAAGACACTGATTAAATATTGTTCTGTTCTGTCTAGACTCTGTTCTGTTCTTACGTGTAAATAAGAATGTGAGGTTTTATTTCAATCCAAGTCCAAAACAGACATTTTAGGCCTTTTGTGGTCTCTAACAAATTGAATGCCTTGTTGGCCTATTACTGTATTTTTTGCAGAGACTTCGGTGCTGAGAACTCTGCTCACGAATGTCTACCACCATTTGCAGCAGGTATTACAGTTTTACGTTCCACAAACAATGTGGAAGAAATAAATACATATGGCACACAGATGCAAGACTTTGGAAGGGATGTGAAGGTACAAATCACTGTGGGGAGATCTTGCAGTCACCAGAAGACATAAGAATCCAGAGGGTCATTCAACTTACTCCTCTAAAAGCTGAAAGGTTTTGGGAGCATGTAGCCCTTAAAGACACGCTGCAATGAAAAAAAGTTATATCTTGTAGCAACCAATTGCAAATCATATTGCATTAGTCCAGTAACGCCACCTAAAATCCTAGCTATTAACATAAGCTACAAATGAACTTTAAGAGGAAGATCTGTAGGGTATAATGGGATACATGTGCCCCTGGGCTCCTAGAGTCGTAGAGCTGTGAAATGTATTTTACTCAGCAATATGTGATACTGTGTCCTTTGAATGTTGTTGAAACACTGAGTGCAATGAGGGAACCAGGAAATCAACCGTACCCAAATTGTTGGACTTTGAAAAGTCTTTAGGTGGCAGTTTCTCATTACAGTGCAGATTGGTGGTGTGGACTGCAGGAGAGGTGAGTATTAACGATCTTCTTTTGCAGGCAATTTTTTTTGGAACTTTTATTTTAGAAACAGTGTCTCTTTAAACAGGTAGGCTCAATATTCAAAGAGAAGAATGAAGGAAGACCATCATTATTCTTTGTTTACTGTCCCAAAACAAACACATATTAAATGGCCAGGCACCTGATAGGTGTCAGGGTTCCACCCTGACTTAAAGGAGAACTATGAGGTGAGTGATTTTCACTCAACCTCATAGTTCGAGCCGACGTGTGACAATGACACTGTCACACGTCGGCTCAATAAATCGGGAAGTAAGCAAACACATATTGTCGCTTGCTCACTTCTCGATCCTGTCCCTGCAGAGAGCCGTGACTGTAACTCACGGCTCCCTGCAGGTAGTCCCCCCTCCCCACTCTGATCCTCCAGCGCTGACTGGCGGAACGGACAGGGAGGGGGCGGGTACAGCTGGTTCTGCCTCTAGATAGGTAAAGCTAGCTGTCCATCACACAGCTGGGTGGATCCCGACAGTAATGCCGGGATCCGTCCCGGCTGCGGCGGTCTCAGTATACCGCCAGCTGTAGCTCGCGGTATACTGAGCTTTGGGTCACGGGAGTTTATGTCCTCCCGTGACCCTTAGGAGAACTATGGGGTAAAGCACTGACCCCATAGTTCTCCTTTAACTGGTTTGCAGCATTCTGGCTTGGCTGCCATTCCACCCACCTGTGATTCCTTCTTTGTCTGAGCAGACTGTATAACGTTACTCACTATCCTCAGGCTCCCCGTTATGGCCAAACAGGGAGCATCATCTGAGAGAGCTAGATGGGAATTTCCTGTCTCTGAGTGATGATGTCACCCCACTCACTATTTAAACTGCTCAGTCCAGTCTGACCTTGCCCTTGCGTGGTTTTACCTGCTAGTGCATTCCTGCTGCTCTGAGTATTCTGATTCTGTGTATGACCCGATCCTGCCTGACGTTCTCCTCTGGTTCCTGCTCCTGGCTTTTTCCTGACAACGCTGATCTCCATGTTCCTGACCTGGCTTGTACGACTACCCACTCTGCTTCCTGACCTTGTTCCTGTTTATGATTTGTGCTTGTTCCTGTGGACACTTTTTTTAATAAAGTATTTTTACCTAGCACCTTCTGCTTGTCTGGTTTTCAATGTGCTCTTACAATAGGAACACTTATTTTCCAGATCAGTAACTCACCAGTTAGTGAAGGACAGATAAGGATGACAGCCTCAGAGCTTACATCTTTAAAAGCAAGTCAGCAATGGCAGCTTCCATGTTTTTACCCTGACAGGCTTTAACAGTAAAGCCAATTGGTGATACAGAACCAAGACTTTTTAAAAAATAATCTATAATTTGCTCCAGATGAATCAGAGTTAAAATTTAATTGGTTTTCATGTAATTATCTGTTTAGAATAAGAATAAGCCTACTGTCTTCCTGTCTTTTCCTGTTGCATCTTCTTCTTAATGCGAGTGACTCCTGATAATCACTGAGAGTTAACACAAATAATTTGGAATATCTGACCATTAGCACTCCCACGTCACCTTGATGCCATATGCCACACACTGAACTCCTAGAGCTTGAACTTCCTTTCAGTCACGTCTATTCTCTTTCCAGAGAAGCAAATCAATCAATGAGCAGGTGGGCTTCACACAGCAGTCACTGTGGGACATTTTTCTGAAGAATTAAAGGCCCTTAGCATGACTCACATCTAAGACCCCCTCTAGAGTCTCTCAGGATATATTTACACAGATAGGTTGGGGATTCTGGTTTTAAATTAAGACTGAAACTAAACTGTCACTGCAAATTAGGTTAGGAATTTTGTTGTAATGAATTTGTCTACAGTGGTCTATTTACTTGCATGGCATAAAATCATATTTATAATCAGTCAACCATTGGTATATCACTTTACAAATGGTAAAACCCTTTAGCGGACACAGGGTATCCTGCCATCTTCCCACTAATCCAGATTGGGCGGTATAGGTTTGCTTTGG